GTTGGAGTAGGGAATATTGTAAGCTACTGCTAGCAAAACAATGCAAAGTATGTAATTATTTTCGGTAATCCGGACACTTTTGATAACTCAACACCCCTTTGGTCCCTTACCTGTCGGACTATTAAGGGAGAGCTGTATTTTGTAATTATTTTTGCTTTTATAAATTCATATATTTTTATACGTTGCTGCATATACGTTGCTGCATATACAGTAACAACAGAATAAAAGTGGAAGTAGATACTTTTTTAAAAACATATTATATTTGTTAAATATTACTTGTGAATTTTAAAGTTAAATTTTACTACACACGAATATTTTGTATTTAAATACATTCAATTTTCCAATGAAATGTGTCAGGACCAGGGCTGTGGAGTCGGAGTCGGAGTCGGAGTCGTGGAGTTTTGACGTTTTAGCCGGAGTCGGAGTCGTCAAAAAATCCGCCGACTTCGGAAAAGTATTCGAATCGTGTCAAATTTGACCCTCCAACTTTTTTGTAAATCTACACGTTTGGAGACCTCCCGAACCCCTCAAAAAGTTAATAAAGGGGAAAAATTCGCGCGCGCGTGTGTGTTGGCGTCTAATTTGTTTAATTTTTTTATTTTCTGTTCTGAGATATTGAACAATATCTTAGAATAGTTACGAAATGTTAAGTTTACTCAGTTTAAGAAACGAAATGTGGCACTGTAGCTTGCGTATAAAGAGGCATTAATACTATTAAATTTTGGTTCTTAATTAAAGATCGACAAGGTAAAGACATAAATGTGGTCATGTGTCATATCTCTTAATGAATATTTTACTCGTTATTAGCGTTCAAAATTTAATAAAATAAAATAAAACTCGTCTTTACTCTCAAAGTAAGCTTTTTTGCCATTTTATAATAGTACAGTAAAACCCGTTAAGATGTTCTCGTTTAATTAATTAAGATGTTAGAATGTATATAGGGACACGATTTAGTTCAACCACTTTGACTTTAATAACTAACTCCTGTGTTAAACCATCCGATTCCGATTCTGACCACTCTGACCACAGAAATTATAAGGCTTCAAACAGGGTGAACGAAATCATACCCCTCACACACAGTCGACAAATATAGAAAAACCCTCGAATCTTTTGCATATCTCGAAATTTCAAGGTGTTCCGAGTCCAAAAATGTAAAAATTTGGGAGGGGTCATTTTTTGACCGAGCGCTACACTTTTCCTCTGTTATATATAACAGCCGGAAAAGTAAAAATTATCGAATACATATTTATATATTACTTAGGGGAGTCTTTTAGCTTTGAAATGAAAAGTTTCTACGCTCTATCTTTATTACAACTCTATTTATTGAATATTTTATTCTGAGGTCACGTGATGACATCAGAATTTCCGGGTCTCTTTCGGTAACAAGTCTGCCCCTAATCGGAGTCGGAGTCGGAGTCGGTAGATTTTTACGGGACTCCACAGCCTTGGTTAGAACACTGTTAAACAAATGCAAATGATTACAGAATAAGTAATAAAAGCCGTATCGGTTCAACAGTGCTGTATATTATCTTGGTGACGTTAAAAATTATCGGGTAATAAATGCTTTTAAACATAGAATGAGTGATGTTTTTCGCGAAACCACTGTTAAAAAATTGTTTTTCCCTCTATATTTATTAGTAGAAACAGAAACAGTGTATTACTTTATTTTGTTTATATTGAAATTAAATATACATAAAAATAATATATCACAATATTATAAAGCATATAATTATGGCGCTCGTATTAAAAAGCGTTAATACGAGCGTCATACGAAAATTTATATTTTAGTTTTACACATTTTCTTCTATGCATTTTCATGCAGCACTACAAGTGTTTTTATATATATACATTTTTTATTTTTATCTAAAAGAATTAACAAATTATTTATTTTCGTAAAAAATATTATAGTTGTTACTAAATTACAGAAATTAAATAATAATTGTATTTATTATACTTGAATATATATACAAAAGATACGAAGTGATTTAAAGTGTTGTGAAAACCGTAGATTAATTATCTGTTTTTATTAAGATATAACAACGCAGTGCTTAGACGATCTGACTAAAAGGCGTTCAGACGTGGAGAAAACTCGGAAAACTCCACGTATCCAGCCGTCCTGCAGAGACGCGACCGAACGTCTAGTGTTTAGACAACAGAACGGCTTGGCCACTGTTGGGTCGTAAATTAATTAAGATTAAATTTATAATCTTAAAGTACTATTTTTGTCTGCGAGTTTAATAAAAACTTCTGCACATTTCTTTTCTTTTTCCATCACTCCTGTTAAATCCAGGATTGTGGAAAATATAGAATACAATCCGCTGACCATCTGCAAAATATTCACAATTAACCAATGCAATTACACAGCTGAAAATTTAAATAATAGTTTTACNTTTAAAACGTTTTATTAATTCATAAGCCATGTTTAATTATAATTAATAGTACATAACAATTACTTGTTAAAAGTGCTACCATTATATCAATATAATGCTTTAAGTAAACTTTTTATTGTTCTTTGAGTCGTGAAATTAAAGCTACAAATACTGAGCACATTAATACATTCGAAACTGTAGTTAATCTTTACTTATGTAACATAGGTAATGGCTATTAACTATATTAAAAGCTGTTAGCTAATTGCAAATTTTTTACGTTTTCAGTATAAAATACATAGTCAATACTTCTACCTCATTTTTATTGACCCTAAAATTATTGATTGTCTTCCACAGTGTGGAAAATGATTAAATTTTATTGTGCTGAAGATTATTTGCGATAAGTTTTGAAAAGTTTGAGTTTCAAAAATGAGTTAGAAATGAAACTTTTTTGTATAAAAACAGAACACGCAAATGAGCTAAAGTTCAACAGCAATGCCATTTTTTCAAAGACTGCTTGCATTTTCAAATAAATTGGTCACAATCTGACTTATGAACACCGCAAGTAGGTTGTTCTTGCGTTATTTAATCAGACCAGATTTGAGGATTCGCATTTTTTTATGGAAGGATTTATTCCAACTATTTCATAAAAGATTAATTTTAAAAAATTGTTGCAAAGATTGTGATCCTTAAATTATTAGAGGATTCTAGAATGCCGTAGTTTGACTAAATTTTTTCTTTAGTTAAACTAAATTTTCTTTACAAATTGTAGTTCCTCTACATAAACAGTCAGTGACGGAGCAAGTGCAGTTTTCATGTATTCGTGGTTCTGTAGACGAAATCGAATCATCGAAAAGGCAATCTCCAATTGTTCAGCAGCTGCTTGTAGAAGCAAGTCATTCAAAACTGAATTCAGAGCCAGTTTCACATTTTTGCTTTTAATTTTTTGCGTTTTGGTACCAACAAAACAAACAAACTTAGTTTTATAACAAATAATTACGAAACGATAAAGAACTGAATTGAAAATAAAATTCAAAATTAGACTGATGACAATAGAAGATTGCAGGAACAAAAAAGATATAGGAATTGTATTAAGCTAGGCGAACATATACAGGAGAGTTCAGTGAAAATTTTATAAATCTAAGCTATATAATTAAATGCTGTACATTTAAACTTGAAATATTATATTTAAAAAATTACCATGTTTTTTTTTTCTCTTGTCTACACTATTGTAAATCGATTTTTTAAGAGATTGCGCCAGAAAGGTCTCTAATTTGCATAATTTTATTTTATTTTTCTGCATCTATGAGTAAATGCTTTAGTTCTTTCGCCCGCTCAATGATCATTACTTCTATCTAGGACTGTAAACTTGCATAGTTTAATAATTCCTACCTATATATATATAGATAAACATTACTAAATACGAATCTCTAAATATATGAAATTATTTGTCTTGACTGACTTACTGAGTCACTGACTGACTTAGTTACTGATTCCTCATCTCCCAGAGCAAACCGTTGAACCTAAAGAGGTGAAATTTGGTACACAGTTAGGGTACGTCATGGAAACGCACACTAAGAAGGATTTTTTCGAAATTCCCAAGAGTGAGAGCATTAAGGCTTAACCTGTAAAACGAATTTTGAAATTGATTCCATACTTTCCCTTAAATACATTTCAGATATTGTTATAAATATTTTCATATATTTCGATTTTTTAACCAAATGTTCGAACCGTTTTAAATTCTAATTTGTTATTGCACATTAGTTCGATTATAGAACGATTGTAAACGTTCCAGAAAATTGATCAAATTGAAAACAGTTCGTTTGATTCTCAGAAATTCTCATTATTCTCAGCGGTAAATGTTATAAAACAATTACTGTGGTTGTTGAAATATTGAATGTAAATGGGATTTGCTTGCAAAACCTCCGCGGGCGAAGTCGCGAATAACAGCTAATTAAACTATAAAAATAAAACACATAGAATATCTTAACGGCTTTAATCCGAAAGCAACGACAAAAACAGCTAGATAATTAATAGGAAAGTTAAAACAAAGAAGGAAAAATCTGTACTGTGAGTTTTTATTAAACCTGACAAAAATCAGCTAAAAAATAGAATATTTCAATAATGTAAAACTGCAGACAAATTCAAGCTAACACACATTCTTACTTAAATAAAAACTATCGAATTTTAACATTCTCAAATTATGTTAAAACGAAACCGTCTTCCAGAAGTGCCGTATTGCACGAGAAACCACTATATTTTATTTAATAGGAAACTGTTCAGTAGCAAAGGTTTAAGTTGTCTTCGTATGATTGAATTTATAAAACTGTTCACAGTTTTCTTTCTTATTTGAAACGGTTTTCAGTTTTAAGAAGCCGGAAAAAATGGAATGTAGTGTACTTGCCATCTGAAATATGAAGCAAAATCATTATCAAATCTGTTTAGGGAAAGTTCTAGAAAATAATACTAAAGGAAAAAGCAACCTTGAAAACAATCTTCTTATCTACAACTAAATATCCGCCTATTGAAAGAGACAGGGAGACTTTTCCAAATCTTTTCATAAAATCTAAAATCTGAAAGTACGAATAGAAATATAAAATAATTATTTATTAAATGATTATAGAAAACACATACCTTCAGCTTTCTTTTCAGCGAATTGTCTGACGTCTTGAAACGTATTTTCCATCTGCAGCAGAGAAAAACAGTATAAAAATAAAATTAAAAAACACGTCAATGGTGTATATAGAATATAATTACCGTAAATGCGAGCGAGCACAGCAGACATCCTGCTATTATGCAAATACAAGTAAATGTTACCATGAGTAAAAATATTAAATATTTAACGGAATATTGAAATCCCAAAAATAAAAATGCGTAGCAGTAAAAACTTGTACCCCAAAGAACAACAAAATAGATAATTACAAATACTAAATTGTACTTGGTATTCAATTGTTGCGTAAAAAGCCAAAGCTCTTCGTGATGCAACATTAATTCGTTTAGCTTTCTCTGTAAATCTGAACCGATTGTTTTAATTAAAAATAATTCCCGTGACAATTGTTCGAACTCTTGGTGAGCGATGATGAATATCAAAGCCAATATTAATAAAGTAAAACCAAGTCCTCCTATAACATAACTTATAGGTATGAAAATTTGGATACTACAGAATAGAGCATCACTACAAAATTTTTTCTTCTTTTCTATGTAAGAATAAAGAACGAAAATCACAAGAATTAGAAATAAGACAATAATTACTATTATAATTATAGACACAAGCAAAACAATTTTTCTCAATAAGTTATAATTATTCTTCATTTTGCTACGGAAATTCTCGTTCTTTAATGTCTTTATTAATCCTAATTTGGTTCTTCTGATGCATCTGAAAACAATACAATAACTGATAGATAGAGAAAAATATAACAATTTGAACAATGTGGAATGAGTTTTCAGTGTATCAAATTCTCCGATGCAAATTGAATATTCGTCTAAACCCGGTATTGTTTCCCAAATTAGAAGAACTGTTCGTTGCCATAAACAAAATTCGATTATTCGAACGTATATATTCATAAATTTTGAATTTTTACATATTCTAATTTTGTTTCGGGAAATGCAAGATTCAAACGGATCTATCCCAAATATAAGTTCAGTCGTCCAACAAGGACTAAGAAAACAGTTCATACAAGTTCCTTCTTGTAAATTTGGGTTCATTTTTACTTTTTCCCCACGCTTCACGAAGCAAAATGACGGTCTGAATAAAAATGATTGTTACATAAATCCATTATCTCTTAAAAATGGGTGATGCATTAGTAATTTCCTGCCATACTTTCACCGGATAGAATTGAAAATTAATTAGCTAAGTGCACGTTTTATTGATTGGTCAATAAATTAAACGCTGGAGATAAAAGGTAGCGCTGTAATGGCTTGAATATGCATGGCATTTTAAATGGGGAAATGGTATTGTTTTCAAAAGTAAGGGAAAGTTTGGCAAGAGCTCACAATTTTAGTATAATGATGTAATAACAAAAATGTTAATTGTGTGAGAACCGAGGGGGTTAGTTGTCCCCACTTACCGGTGGCTCTGTCAGAGGATGGCTTTATAGGAGGGCAAAATGAATTGAGTGGGACGGTCAATAAGTAAGTTGACAGGTTTCCAAATAAATACGCAGGTTGAACAAGAATAACACATTTAATAAACAACTATAAAATTCTACATATCAAAGGCAAAGGTGAAGAGCTACAAAAATTCTATTCTTCGTCGCGACAATGATTCGTCTTTCATATGAAACATCTAATCTCTATTCTCTAAGTTAAATTAAGAGACGATAGGGAGACCTCTCGGAGAGAGACTTCGCAGAGAGAGAGTATACAAATAGATATTAAAAAAAAAAATAATACCTCTAAGTTCCAGATCCGTAATATGAGTCGTTGGTGAAAACGTTCCTGGATCGTCACGGCAGTTATGGCGGTATGGGTCAGTAGATGTGGCAGTCGATGTCCGCCTTGTAAATGTCTGCCTTGTGGACTGCGTCCAAGCCCTCTTTACACTCTTTTTGAGGGGGTGAGAACTATGACATCATTTATGATTTATCCGCACACCTGTTAGTTTGTTGATGTTTGGATCTAGCTAGTACGGACCACTGACACAGAGAAGTTTGTTTAATTTATTGATATTAGTATTTAGAAGATATGATTTTATAATATAAATTTCTATAGGTTTGACGGCTCTCGTCCATAAATTAACATTCATCTGACAATAATTTCTTTAACCTGGTCAACTATCTAGATATTGTTTATATCAAACGTCGCGTTTGACTACAAACGAGGCGATTTATTGCTGTAACCACTTGTCACGTGCAACCAAAGAGGGGGGAACATCTCTTATTCCCGTCTTGTTGATATTAACGTCTATAGAATTACCTTTAAACAAATGAAAAAGATTTCTTTTATTGATATGCTAACGATTTTTTTCAAGGAGATCGTCTCAATCATCAACCGCAGAATGCCCCTCTTTTCCCTTTTTACCTAATCACGAGGTTTATTAGAAAGGTGATACTGTTCTAAAACGAAAGGGTTTTGGACCGTCACAATTGCATTCAAAAATCTTATCAAAATACATTCAGAAACCATTCTAGATTAACCGGGAGTCATTCGCACAACGTTGTATTCAAAAAAATTAATATTAAAACAATTGTTCTACAGCAATGAACACCTCAACGCCTCTGCAATTCTGTTTTTTATATGGAGCAAGGGTGTTATGATCGCCATTTAAGATCAGGTCAAAACACTGAAAACTACAGGAAACCCACCCTGAAGAATACATAACTCACAAATGACTTGCAGAAAATGCCACATTCTGCCAGAAACAATACAACTTATAACCTCTGGTTGCAATCTCTCAGAACAGACTCTTACCCCAAGAGCTCGCACAAAAGCATAAATTATTTAACATCTATGTACCATATTACAAATATACTCCGTAGGCAGTCTTAGCAAATAACACATACAAAATATACTACGACAGAGTTATAATCACAGATAAAAAATTCATCACCATACACACTGACTTCACTCTCATTCACAAATGCATTAAGATCGCTTATATAATAGATATCTCTGTTTTAAATACTCATTCATAGAATGAGCATTCATAAAAATTTCTCATTCTGAAATAATCAACAAGTACCCTCCACTCGTTCAAAAAATAAGACCGCTGTGGATGATAAATACGGTATTTATTACACCTCTCGTCCTTTCTTCTCCTAGTGTCATACCACATACAATACACAAAAGTCTAGAAACATTAAATCTTAATAAAAACACATACATGGCACTACAGAAAGCTGCAATAATTTCTATTTCTATTTCGATTAATATGTCTGATTAGGTGAAAGATTTAGAAATTTGGGACGGTTGCTTGTACACCAGGAACATTAATGTGTTAAATTTTGGTGGATATTGGTCGAAAGGGTGATAGAGGGTGATAAAGATTTACACGTCATATTTCAAGAGAAGGAAACTTCATAAAGATTTAAAATTTTGCGCCGGTTATTTTTTTATAATGGTGTTCCGCATCAAATGTAAAAAGTTTCGTCGAGACAGGCTAAGTATAAATTGAAAAATAGCGAAATAGAAAGTCTTTCCAAAAGTAAGAAGCAAAATGAAACATACGAGAAATGTGGCTGCACTGCCTACGATAAATACATCAAATCAAATGTTTTCTTTGTCGTTTTTATGTTATTCGTCATCTTTCCAACATCGAGTTTAAAGTAAAAACAAATACAGTATTCCACTTGTTGTTTGTTTTGTTTTGCAGGTAAATTTTCTTCTGTCTTCAGGTTTAACGAACAGAGCGCTGTCCCTCCAGTCAGATAAAATAGATCCATGAATGAAATGAAATGCAAACTGTCCTCGTTCTTGCGATGCCGCAAACAAAATTAATTTTTGACACTCATCATAACAGCAACGAGATTAAATAATAGTTATTTAATTTTATTAGAATATGAAATGTTTGGTAATAGAAGTACACAGTAGAACACAATAAAAGAATTAAAAGTTGCAGGATACTTTACGCAAAAAATTCGAAAATTCAATAGGCGCGCACAAAATAAACTTACAAAATTTCTTTCAAACTCAGTGTCAGATGAAATTTTGTATTCATATTAGGAAAAAACTGTTTCAATGCAATATTTGCAATTATAAGTCTGCGTGGAAATTTCTTCATCGAAAACACGTGAAAAAACACAACACTGAAAATTAAATTGGAATTAATAACAGAAAACTTCGTACGTTATCACCTCCAAGAATTCGCGAAAAATTCAAAATTGACTGAAAGTTTTTCAATATGACACCTGTGATAAGCGCCTTAAGTCAAAGTTTTATTACGAGTAACATAAGGAAATAGTTCTTGTGATATTTTAAAAGAAAACATTGTTTGAGACAGCATAAAAACTTTCATGGCGATAAAATAAGTATTTTTGGGACGTATGTAAAACAAGTTTCAAAACTAGGAGTACTTTTGTCAGACATAGCTTAGTTCAACTATTGAACTGTTGAACTATTTTCGTGTTGAACTTCAACCCGAAAATATTTTGATATGATCATATTGTAATAGGCGATTTAAAAATGAAAATATGATCAAATGTCATTTGAAAACTCGAATTTGAATTCGAGTTTTCAAATGACTTTTTGACAGTTTTGCATTAACGCATGAAATCTGTAAAAAAAAAAACTTTACAGTAAAGGAAATAGCTGCAACAGTAAATCCAGGGCCATACTAAAACTATCTGGGGCTCTGGGGGACCCGGGTTCGAATCCGAACGGGTCGAAAAAGTCCCCATGAATTTTTCCGGGGTGGTCCGTTCGGATATGTCGGGCCCCGTCCCTCACCACCCGGCAGTCCCATTGTGGGCCTGGCCGAACCCATAATGGGCCTGCTATAAGAGACTTTCTTAGTGCCCACAGGGCGGAAAGAGTCAAAAACAACGCAGCTTTTAGTTTTCAGTTCGTCCATCCACATTAGCAAATAGTGGGCACTCTACCGAAGCTTTTCATCTGACATCGGCATGATAGCGATGGGGAAAAAAAACATAAAATACAATAAATAATACAGAAATTATTATTAATATTTAGAAAATCGAACATGGCCTATGGCTTAGATCGTTTTGATCGCAGTCATTGAGTCGGTGACTAAAGACTTTGATTGCTTATTATTCTAACTGCGGGCACCACCCAAGGCCCTTGTTCCTGCTCGTCGTCTGCTGCGGCGGCCATAGTAGGTAGAGGCAACCAACGGTGGTGCTTAGCGGNAGAACCATGGTCACCTGCATCTGTTGTCAAAGTTGGCCCGATGCCCAGAACATATGTCATTAAAACACCAGATGGAATTCACTATAGAAGAAACAGACATCACTTATTGAAGACTCCTAGAACAACAGAAGTGCCAACTTGGAAAATAGAAGATACAATTAACAGCATGCCTACATCTAGTCCAATTACTCCTGAGCAGGCAAATAGTCAAGCAGAACCTGACAAAATAACTGAACAAAAACTTCGGAACGTATAAAACATCTTTTTATAGGTTTATATTCAATAAAATTCAGATATATTCATTCATCAACATATTAAAAGATTTTTCATGGCAAAAATTTATGTAGTTATATTCAATTAAATATATAGAAGTACTAAAACATATCTATGTATGTTTATATTCAATAAAATTTAGTTGTATTTATACAGGTTTTTTAATGAAGAAATTTGTCTTACCTTATTTCCATGACTTTTAATTTTTATAATTGGATTTAGTTTTAAACTAATATTTAGAATCTATATTTTAATATATAAATTAACTGTTAATTAATTTTGTTATTTGAAGTTTGAGGGTCCCCACAGAAAAATTCAATCGAATCTCGCACCTATTGCATTTGTCCCTGTCTGTTGTGGTTTAATTTAGATTTTAATTTTAAGACCTGCTTCTATTAAAAGAAGCGTGGAACAAGTGCAAAATAAAGAAACTGTTAAACATATACAGCTACAACTGCATTATTTACTCTAACTTAATTACTGCCACAATTATAAAAAAAAAAACAAATTATTTTCCAACCTAGGAATCGCCATTACCGAAACAAATAGTCAATTAAAAATACATTTATCATATGTATAAAAATAAAAACACTAATGTGGCATAAACTATAGAGGAGAAGGTGGTATTATGGAACCCCAATTATATTTTAGTGAATTGTAAACGAAGTATCATAACTACACCCACATTTTTTGTGCGAAAAGTACTGGTAACTAGTAAACTAAATGTTCCTAATTGGATTTTTCGCTAGTGTAACTATAAGTGTGGTTTTTGAAGGCTTTTGTACAAAAAGTCCGAAAGTAGGCTTAGAGAAAATCAGGTGGTAATATGGAACCTTACTGTATATTTTCAAAAAAATGCTTTAATGTAGCCAAAAACAAATAGGTAAGGACAAAAAATGTTAAATAATTACAAAATTATTTACTCCAATGTATTTTATCGCAAAAATGCTTTAATAATAGAAAAATATGACCCCCATCAACAATATATATTCCAGCAGCTCTTCTTCGGTATTCTCGGGAATAATTGACTTTCTACGTAGTGTCTTTTCACAAAGTGCTCCGGACGAATGTCTGCATGCAAAGAGAGAGTTCGGAGGAGTTGAGTTCCATATTACTGTAAAAGCATCAATGGGGTCCGTATTTTCGCATTGCCATCTTGAATTAACTTATGTCTGTCGAGACCAAAATTTAAAAAACGTGAACATCACACAGATTAATATGTACCCCTAAGTCTCTGGAACGGAATACATGTACCAGTGAACCTACAACTATATGATTTATTTATGCTTCTAACACAATAAATATACATCAATATATGATTTATATTTCAAAATATAAATCATATAAATCAATATATGATTTATATTTTAAAAATAATTAAGTTCACTTAGCATTCAAAACTTGCGAATTTTGAAAAAAACAAATTTGCTGATTAAATGCAAACAACTGTTTAACTGAAGTAAAACGGGTTTTCCCCTTGCTATGGATGTCTGCCTAGTTCAGTTCAGCCACATTCCGCTACAGTTCGCCTTTATTATCAGTTCGAAATAGGGTGGTTCCATAATACCCGCAGTGTTCCATAATACTACCTTCTCCTCTAGTATGCAATTAAGAAACTATTACAAATGCTTTTATTTAAACACACGTTTATTATTTAATATAATCCTATTACTAATAAAAAGAAGATAACTTGTCAAGATATAATTAAGCTTCAAACACAATTGACAATATCACAAATTAGTATCATCTTTGTATTGCTGATTCAAAAATTTTAAACTTTTTACTGTTTATGCTTTTAAAAAGCGACGTTTACAGTAAAATTCAATTGTTGTAATCGCTTTCGGATCTGCCAATAAAGCGAGTGACAATAATTAATCTTCGTACAAACACGATTACTTGTCATGTAGAAACATGACAAGTAATCGTTAGAATACACTTATTCTAACAATAAACTAATTCTCCGTAAATAATACAAATGAATGTTATCGCCCTGAATAAATGACATGTACTTAAACAAGTAAAAATAACTATATTACTTTTTAATCAATGAAATTTCTATTTATTTTAAAAACCATCTTTTTTCGGTACATAAAAATCAATTGTTTTATGTAGAAAATAAAAGTTACAAAACGAAGAAATCTAAAATACGAGTATTACATATTTTTCGAAGAAATGTACTAAAATCATTTCCATAAAAGTCATTATTCATTACTATTATGATGTTTAATAATATGATACTTTAAAGAAGGTTTAAAACGAAATTTTTGTGAGCAATGATAACACGAGAATGGTTTCTCTCCGGTGTGAAGACGAAAATGACGTATCAGATGATGTTTTTGCGTGAAACTACGCTTGCAATGGTCGCAAGAGAAAGGCTTCTCCCCGGTGTGAGTTCGGAGATGTCGAGTCAGATTTCCTTTTTGTGTAAAACGTTGTTTGCAGTGATCACAGGCAAACGGTTTCTCTCCGGTGTGAGTCTTGACGTGGTCAAGTAGATTACACGATTGTGTAAACTGAAGACTACAGTATTGGCAAGTGAAGAGCCCTTGGCCAGTATGAATCCTTCGATGATATTTTAACCCCTTTTTCGAAACGAATTCTTTCTTGCAACTGTCACATTGATACTTCCCATTCTTTCTCTTCTGAATGTTCATACCTGTAAAATACGACAAATAAAAATATTAAAAGCAGTCTAGATGAAAGCTCTCTTCAATTTATTGCCAATCAAATATTTAAATTTAAGCACACTATTTCAAAAGTATTATTAAGTTTTGCATGTAGATAGAAAAAAATCTACTATTTCTGGTTAAGTTTTTTACATAAAATTTGAAGCTTAAACCTAGACGAAAATTACCACCACACCAGAAACAATAACTATTTAAACGAATTACCAAAAAGAATTAACAATATCACAAATTAACATAATTTATACACTTTCTGAAAACAATATAAATGGAGTTTATTTTGCAAAAATAAAAACAAACAAATATTTAGATAATAATTTAAAAATATCTTCGTAGATTTCTCAATTATTCTTCACTTGCACGAAAGACGGTTTCTTTGTTGATATATTCTTGTATGATTTCTTAACACTGGCTTTAATGTTAACAACAAAACTCGAACACATCCTTCGACTCTTCTTCTGTTTTCTCGAAAAGAATTCTTCATTTTGTACACAGAAATGGTCTTGATTATTTAATGAACCTGAAAGTCATAAAAAGTGCCAAATAAAATCGGATACGAAAATGACGTCATACATTATTTTCTAAGTCAAATTTAAATGTATCAAAATTAATTTAATGTAGTAATTCTAGAATTTTTTTTTCGGCATTTCTTGCCATAATATACCAGCAGGGTGTGAAACCCAGCTGGTATACTATGGCAAGTAGCTTTATCTGCGATTCTTACAAAGAAAAAAATTAGGTATAAATGTATTTTACGAAGAAAAATAGTTATATAAAGTGTCTATCGGATTTCCTATTTTACAGCTTTCTTTGAAGAACTAAAAGTTATAAAAACTCAATGTTATTTTAAATGTTGTTTTTAAAAACAGCTTCGGAACAAAGTAGAAATTTACTTACTAATTTTATAAACTTCAGTCAAGAAAGACACGTAAAATAATAACCATACTTGTTACCACAAACACTAAGGCATTCGATACATCACCAAATGTTATCCGAGAAATCTCTTCTGCTTTTTAAAACAATCTTCCTTTTTTCTTTCTAGTGAAATCGTCACCGATGTTTCTTCCTTCCATCAAGATTGTAAATCATGTTAAATTTTAAAAAATCTACACACAGATTATTGATTATCGAAATAAAATGGCGACGGTTTATGTTCGAAGAAACGACTCACTTACCTGTTTGGACGAGAATTCCTTAAGCTTCCGTTCGTTTTGTCGTGCGGCTGAAAGGACAATACAATCTACACCCTCTTTCTTTACAGATGCAAAAAATTGTGGGCTATCAACACAATAAAATAAAACCTCTGTCGACTTTTTCTGTAACCAAAAGAGAACGGAAGTACGTCACTAGTATTGAGGGAAGTGTAGTCCACTATACATATTCATTGTCGCTTCCTTTTCTGTGGTGACGAAGTACGAACCGATCCCAAGAAGATGGAGTAAAACGGACACCAAATGGCACTTTCCTTTAATTTCTTCCTAAAAGATTTAGCTCATCAGAAAACAATTTTCAATCTATTCGGTATTTAGGATGGAACGTACTTTAGCATTTCTCTAATCCAAAGTTACACTCGCTGGACTTAGAGGAAACCTAACTGTCAATTTTCAAAAAAGAGTGGCGCCATCTAATATTTAAAATTCAAAAATAATCTTTCATTGAAATTATAGTAAAAATGAGTTTTGTCGAAACCATTATAAATAAATATTTTGAACCCAAAAGTCACAAACAATGGTGAATGTAAACGAAGTTAGCAGAAAATCCACATTTAAATCCGTTCTCCATTTTTGTAATTCTTTAATTATGAATTGTTCGATTTCTCAAACGGGAGGTCCGATATCTTTGACATTCGAGAAATCGCATTCGGTTTAAGATAATTTAATACCCGGATGTGTGATAATGTGATCGGTGTTTATAATAATTCTATCGTTTTTTAAATGAATGATCTTACCTTGCAGACGTAACACTTCGAATTTATCAAGTCGGGTACAGAAAAACATCCCATTAAACTGTCTAAAACGGAAGTGTTATCCCGATCGTATTCGTTTCAATAAGCAAAATTTATACATTGGAGAGCACGGAAGAATTTGCAGTCTCGTGATTTGGATCTCCTGAGTAATGAATTGGAAGAGGAATTACAGAAACTTATAAACCTCCTAGATCGGTAGCCACGCAAAAATACCGCAACATCCCGCACGACGACGCTCCGTGTCCCATTACCCGAAAAAAGGCGAGTGTTTGGACAACACCCTCCATTTCGAGATCCCATTCGGGAATGCCACTTAATTGTGGCCGAGGCAAAATGCTGGGAAGTTAAAACCAAATAAGAGTAGAATAATATAAATGTATCCTTAAATGAAACTGAACGTAGCAAAGCGCGGGCTGCGTAACATCCGAAGGAGGTCCTACGGGTATTGCTAATTTTTAACCAGATCGTCCCTCCCGATTTAGAAATGCAGACGGATGGATGGAATAATTCGTAATGAATAAATTATATAAATGGAGAACAGATTCAAATGTAGATTGTTCTTCTCGGTCAATTCGTACTTTATCTTCGGCCATTCGTTTGATTGTTTACGGCTTTTGAGTTCAAAATCATTTATTTATAACACTTTCAAAAGTATTTATAATATTTAATTAATTAATTAATAATATTGCAATCACAGATCTTTTCATTAGTTTTACTTTTATAAATTTCGGAAAATAAAAATTTATATCTTTTCGAAATTTAAATATTGCCCCCACCAGTGGGCGAGTGGTCTCCGTTGCCGCTCAAAGCGGTGACCAGACCTTAAACACTGGGAAGTTCGGTCGTGGGTTCGCACCGCAATCGGACAGGCTGGCTACTTGGAGTTTTCCGGGTTTTCTCCTTGCCAATAACGACTGAATAGGAGGCCAGTTTCCCATAAAAGTCCTCCCGGAAGGCATTAATTCCCGCGCGTCCGTATAGGCCGTTCGGATACGGCTGGCAAATCGGTCGCATAGCGACCATACACACACAAGTCTACTCGGAGAAAGAGCCTAAATTAAGCTAAAATCTCCATATAAACAACAACACCGAAGAAGAAAGAGAGAGAGAATTTAAATATTAGATGGCAACACTTATTCTTATTTTTAAATTGACGGTTGTTGCATCGAAGTGTAACGAGTGCTGCGCAGAAGTACAGAAACGGCAAAGTATGTTTTCATCGCAATTGATCAATGGATTTAACTTTGTATTCTGGAAAGCAAAATTTTTCAGGGAAGGAACGAGAGGAAACGTGTTGATCCACACTTCGATGGAATGGAGAAAAGGAATAGAAAATGGACGTGAATAAGTATAGTACTTGACTGTTAGCTCATTACTAGTGACATACTTTCGTTCTCCTTTGGTTACAGAGAAAAGTCGATATGGAAGGTTGTACGTTTCTGTCCGTTGGAGTCCACAATTTATCGCCGATGATTAGCGCAAGGGCGTGATAAACTTCCGTGAATGGTAATATGTCATTTAGAAATTTTAATTTAATTTTATCCTAATAGATATTATTTCGACATATTCATACATTATAATAGAAAAGAGAAGACATTCTCTTTTGTTTTCCGTTGTGACAAAGTGAAAAGAGCATCTTTTACTGCATTAAACTGGAGACTAAATAGTGAGCTCTCTTCTAACAGTTTTAGTTGTAATCGATGAATTTCTGTCTGCAGAACATTTTTTCGGAATTTTCTTTTTTCGTGTTTAGGGCTGCAACGTTTCGCCCTCACACGAAAGAAAATCTTGTCCGGGATCATATTGGGAGAACGAGTGGGAGGAGGATAACTTGTTACGCAAAAGACGAAATTTCTCATAACATTTTACAAATGGAATATAAGATACAATTTTACTTACGGAGCTTCTATAGTGTACTTTCGGTCGCCGTCTTGTGTTCGGTCCACAAAGATGATGGCACAGAAACTAAATACACCGGCATTCAAATTGTGAGCCCGCGGAATTTTACGGGGCTTTTAGGTTTTTTCGCTGATTTCACGTCCTATCCCTTCTCTACATGGATTCCAGACTTGACTGTTCGGAACCTGATCCGATTGAAATGTTGATTGGAATTTAACATTCTCCATGCATTTTAAAATTTTTGTCGAAAGATCACTTTGAAGACTGACGGGGTTTTCTATGTCAGAAGAGTCAAAGCGGGTTTTCGTCTTTGTCGATCCTGTTGGAGAGGGGAAAAAATGTGAGAGATATATGCGTTTAACTGTGTGTTGCCTCATGTATTTTAGTGTTAGCTGCATAATAAACCTTTATTTTATTAATTATTAAACCAGTCTCATGTCACTTCGAACCACGGACACCTGCCGACTTTCTCATATCCTCGCCTCTCGATAAATTTCCATCCAAAAGACAAACTTTGCGAGTTTTATCAACTCGACGTGTCAGACGCAAGTAGGGTATTGACCCTGTACCCTCGTATTCTCTAAAAAGTAAATAATTATTAATTTTAATTATATGAAAATAATCGCACAATATTTTATTATAACCGCATTATGTATCTTATTACAAATTTCTATACTACATGTGAAAAAAAAATTGCTATTTTATATTAGAATATTAGTGGCGGAGTGGAATCTCCTGTATTTTCAGAAAAGCCAGATTTGCGCATGCGCTTTACAGAGCACCAACCTCACCCGGTATAGCCGGTGGAAGCCTACGACCTTGGGTGAAAGCTGCACACATATAAGATTACAACTCTGTCAAGGACCGGTTCTGGGCTGTTAGCCGCCTGCCCACTAGATATTTCGATTACGTGAATAACGAGTAGATTTATA